TCACGCATCCACGCTCGATTTATAGTAGCATCATCAACAGGCAGAAAATGAAGTAGAAAAACTATTTTATTCATCACAATTAATTTGGTTCTTGCACCCTGTCCACCATTGGCCATGCTTTGTCTCATCACGTGATCTTATGGCCAAATTCTACCCCCATGACATAAAGTTCCAAGGTTCCTATCGCATCCTATCCACTTTATATATACATTTAAGTGGCTAAAGTATTCTCCATTATATGATTCTCATGTACCCACTTTCCCCTCTACATAGACTTGAGCTTAAAGCTAGATCTACAATAATATTCTCATCTCCTAGATATCTCACTCCCACAACAACAAGAACAAGAACAACAACCGCAACCACAACAACAAGAAGAAGAAGATGGAAGATCTAATCGCCCAATTCGGCATCCTCTCAAACCAAGCCTTGCAAGACAAAAGCTTCGACCCCGCCACGATCGAAGACCTGATGAAACTCTTCGAGATCGAAGCGTACAAATCATGGGCTGCAGCTGAACTGGAACAGCAGCAAGAAGTGGAAGCAGCTGAGGTTGCCATGCAGGAAGCTGAGGACTACATGGACTCAGTTATGGAGAGTGCCATGGATGAGTTCAGACGTTTTGAAGAGGAAATGGAAGCCATGTCCAAAGCTGAGCACGACAGCTTAGTTGCAAGAGCAGAAAGTGCAAGGAAGATGGGGAAGGTCATGGTCATGGAAAATGCAGCCACTATTGCTTCCAAGAGGTATATTGAGGCTGCTCTCAACGCAGCCACTGCTTCCATGAAATCAGCTTGGAAGGGGATTTCTACTAGCAAGGTTCACCCTTCTTAATCAAATTGAAATTTGGAAGGAGAACCATAAATAATTGTATTTGCTTAATTTTCATATCTTTAAAATGGGGTTTTGGCAGTGTGAAAATATGGATCCATTTAAGTGGTTTCCAAGGATTTGGCACTCAAAAAAATTGATAACTTCTGGTGTTAAAAGATCATAGTCTTCTGCATAATACATTTCGGAATAAAATTTCTATCTTCTTTTTAGTTTTTTCTTTTTGTTTAGGATGCATGAATGAGATCCACCTCATATTCCCACAATCACTGTTTGAATGAGGAAAAATAACAAAAATAATGATGGTTATGATGATATTGATATAGGAAGCAACCGCAGAGAGTGCAAGGAGGGCAGTCTTTTGTTTGTGGTACCTTTTTTTATTATTTGGAGAAAAAGAGAAAAGGCAGGGTGGGTAGCCGTTGATGGTGAATTATCATGGTTCATTGTTGACTACTTGGGGCCTCAATAATTGAGTAGGCTTGAAGAGAAATTGTACCGTTGGCATAAATTAGTTTCTTACCGTTTTGCCCTCACCAATTATTTTCAGCATCCAGTTTCTTTTTTTCTTCGTCGTAAAACAATATTGAGGGAGGGAGATTTTAACACAAAAGTGCAAGGGTCACTATCGAGGGTTAGAGAAAGAAAGATAAAATGATAGGACCAGCCTGATCTTCTTGAATTGTCGAGCTAATTTGATCACCTTTTTTTCATATATTATTTTTTATTTTATACAAGCAATAGTCTAAATTAGTCTAAGTTAATCTAATTCATGAGATGGGGAATTCAAACTGAAGTGCAATGAAGGCACGCTTACTCACTGCCCTTGCCTAAATTAATCTAAGTTAATCTAATTCATGAGATGGGGAATTCAAACTTAAGTGCAATGAAGGCACGCTTACTCACTGCCCTTGCCGACTGACACAACCTACATCTGCACTAATTTGATCATTTTAACTCAGCCCTAGGGATTATTTTGATACCAGGCACAAAGACAAATATGCTTGAGCTCAAACTTTCTTTCAGGGTGCATGAACTTTTTTACGGACCAAAACGTTTTTGAGACATGCTGCATTCTACAGTTTGTTTTTTCCCTTAACAAAAAAAAATAAAAAAGTAAAAAAATCTAGATCAGTGTTTCACTTGTTCCTAAATCATCAAAGTATGTATGTGGATACAAATGTGGAATTAACAAATATCTTCCCTTCTTTTCTTGTTTCATTTCTTCACGTGCCAACAAGTAGGTAAATTACGCACTTGAGACCAAAAGGATCCTATGGAAATGGGGCTAAACTGAACCATTTACAAGTTCCAGCAAGACCAACAAAATTTTATATTCAAAATTTAAGCGTTAGAACATTCGCAATGTGGAAATTTGAGTCATCATCACCGTGGATCAGATGAAAAGTGTGCATATTGACTCACATATCCATAGATTGGGGTCCGGCTGAAGCCTTCAATTTCTTGTCTTTCCTCTTCTTGCTTCCATTTTTGTTTTTCCTTTTCTCTGGTTTCACTTCTATCACTGGCTGTGTCCTCTCCAAGTGTTGTTGAATGGCAGCTAAGGGATCTGACTTGAAAGCGGGATGCTCAAGAACTGTAGCCAACTGCTTTCCTTCCTTCAATCTGATGAAAACAGAATCCACTATTACTTAACTGTGACACAGTGACAATGAAAAGTAAAGCTTGCAACAGGAATGCAATCAAAGAACTTGTAAATTTACATTAGGGTTTTCTTGGATTTGCAATTTAGGTTGAACTCAGAAGTGGGTTGCTTTTTAGCCTTCAACTCAGGCAGAAACTCTGAGAAGGAAGAGAGATCATATGCTTTCAGTTTCTTCTGTCGGCTACGCAGTTTCTTCTTCTGGTAGAAGATAAAGTTACTCATTAGCACACAAAACATTATGAAAATTATTCACAAATTAATTATCATTTTTCTTAAGTAATATCAATAACATAAAAAATATAAAAAATCATGACGAAGTTATTTTGACTCACAAAATGCCTTGTGGAAGTTCAGATCACTACATAACATATCTAACTTTTTCTAGAACATGTATCGATTTCCTCGAACAGGGCTCTTTTTCTTGTGGTAGAAAACCCTAGAAAGAAGTTAGACCTTAAGTGGAAAGGGGGAAGTCTCTCATCAGTTTACTGCTTACACTAGTTGAAGGTTGGGCCCTGTTTCAATTCTTAGTACTAAGCACTAAGAACTGTTGGCACCATTTTGAGTCTTTCAAATCGGCTCAAAATACCTCTAGGCTTCTTTAAAATAAGCAACAAAGACATGCCATTGGTTAGACCTGTCAAACCTTCCTTGTTTGGCCCCATTTTGCTGTCCATAAATCCTTAGCTTTAAGTTGCCCAGCAAACAAAATCCAACACCCAATTTCTCACATTCTTGCATCTTCTGGTTTCTTTCTAAGTGTTGAGTGTACTACTTTATCCCCAACCTCCAAAGCTAATTATCTTTCATCCAAAACCCCGATGCCTCCCCTTTCTCTAAATCAGTTGCCTCCATCCCCCCAACATATGCCCTCACATGAATGATGAATCCTTGCTTCAAAAATGTTACTCCCATCTGTTTTTAATGAGCTTCTTGAACTTCCCTCAACCCAGGTTTTGATACTACAAGTGTGCCTATGTGATTACTGTCTCTCTCCATCCAGACTTGAAAGGAACTTCCTCAGTAATTCAATTTGTGCCGCTCTCTATGAGGCCTTTTTCTTAAATAAGCACATCATCTGTCTATTTTCATGGTGTAGCTTCTTATTCTGTTTCGTTCAATGATTTTGATCACTGCACAACCTCCATTAACAATTTCTGTTCCACTCTAAAATCCCTAGTTAAATGTTGGCAGCTCATGTTCTCTCTTCCTCTCAGGCATAATAACAAAATTTACAAGGATAGATATACCTCTCAAAGCCAGATTGAGAATCATCAGGCACATCATCACTACATAAGTTCAGATAAAAGCAACTAACCATGAACACTACATGTTAATGCCGTCCCCAATTAAGGGATCTGAGCATTCAAATACATTATATTCCAAGACATTGCTGACCTCCTCCAATATTATCTCATCAAATTCCATATCTAAACTACCGAGTAAAATTATGCACCACAAAAACATTCGCTAAACAAAATGTGGGTAAGGCATTGGTATTAAGTTGAACAAAGGGAAAGTTGATGAATTAGAGATCCTCACCTTCACAATAGCCTTCTGGGCACCCAAGCCAGAAACTGTATCTCTAACCTCTGCATTGTTCATTGAAAAATTATTTTTTGGAAAAAAAAAATATATATTGGAATGCAATTATGTTGATCATTCAGAATAAAAAAAAGGTAAATTAATTGGGGATGAAAATATAGACTAATACGACTGATATTATCCATTTTCGAAGGACAAAGACTAGAATTAGATAAACCCAAACAAGAACAGACCAAATAAGTAAAACCCAAAAAGAACAGAAAAGTGAATTAAAAATCCAAACTTACTAGCATAAAATTCGAGCTTCTTTTCGAATTTGAGGTCGGCTTTGGTCGATGATTCTGAGCTGCAGAGAAAAAATAAAACTTTAACCGAGATAGAAAGCGAGAGAAAAAAAAAAGCAAGGGCTTGTGCACAATGGAAGTATTACCGTGAACCTGGCTTGCCCATCACTGAAAAATTTTCGAGTTTGCAAGCACTTTTTTCACAGAGGTCAACTAAACAAATGATTTAAGGTTTTAGAAGACAGAGATAGCAAGCTCTTGAGGAGGAACCGAGAGAGAGAGACAGAGAGACAGACGGAGAGAGAGGGAGGAGGTGGCGTGGTGTAGGCGGAGGAGAGTGGGGAACGGCTGGGTAGGTTTTTGTGACACAGGTTAGCCTCCACCTATATTGCACGGATACAGATACGATTCACCGATACAGCAAATCTCCACAAATCAGAATACGGTACGGCATCAATACGGCAATTAAAATAATATATATATATAATATAAATAGAAAAATTGTAAATATATAAACATATATTAGAGTTTCAGTTATGAAGCGTTTTCTGGAATTGGGCCGGGCTCTGATTGCTTTTGGAACTTCACAAAACTTTGAGCCCGAATTCGGTCATGTCTTGCAAGCAAGAGTAAAATTAACTTATGATATAATTGGGGAGTAAAATTTGGGACAGTAGAAAAAGGTCCTCTCAATCTTTTCATATTTCATCCCAACCCCAAAACTCTTATCAAAATCTCTCTCAGCCCCCTCTTCCGCTTCCAGGGTTTGCATATTCAGTATCTGATTCTGATACAATATACTCTCTCTCTCCTAGGGTATTGTTCAGCTACTTTTCATGGCAGACGCGGGTGATTTCCGATCTCCTCTATTGTTCTTGTAGGTACCATCTGGTCTGAGGTTTCACAGGTATAATTCTAATTTTCACTACGAAAATTAAAGAAACGAAATGATTTTATCCTGTGGATGGTTATTTCCAGATTGATGATAAAGGCTTTATTATCTTGCAGTTTCTCGGCGATTAAATTGTCAGTAAAAATTATCAATTTCTTTATTTATTTTGTATTTTTAGGTGGATTGTTCTTCGTTGACTCATTCCTTTGTTTTGTTACCCAGCAAATCAAACATCACTGGTTCCTAAACATACAAACATATTTGTTTAATTTATGCATTTTTCATGTGGAAAAAAATGTTGTTTTTTCAGTATTGCTGCTTAATTTGTGGATATAATGAATTTTTTTAGGACTCGTTATTTTCATATGATTATCTTTTCTGACAGTTCCTCAGCCACCAAAGAAATCGTTAAGAATCATTGTTGTTGTTAGTGCTTAATTGGTTGTTATGATTTACTAGACTTTATTTTAATAAAATTTTCCCGGTTCTCACTTGTAGAAGTTTTGTGACTTTAACTCTACTCCTTGATAATGGTTGATTTGTTTTGGTTTTTATAGGGCAGAGTAGCAAAAATTGTTGTTAGTATTCAAGTTTCATTCTAGGAAATATTCACAGTAGGCTTAAAGTTGAGGCGAAAGGATGCCTCGTGATTTGGCACGGTCGCAATCACGATCGCCTTCGTATAGGCGAAGGCGTTCGCCGTCTCCAGTGGGGCATAGGGGTAGCAGGAGAAGCCGAAGAGACAGAAGCCGGTCTCCGTATTCCTCATATTCTTATAGCAGGTGATCCCGTTAATATTCTTGCGTTGTTCTGCTAATTTAACTGATTCTCAATCAATTGTTGGAAAGATTGAAGCGTCTCATTGCTCATACAGTTTGGATTTACATGATATCCAAGTTGCTATGTCTGCATCTTCTTCCGTATTGATCCTGTGGTACTTTTTATTTCAAGTATAAAGCCTACGTACTTGTAGGCTTGCAAGTTACGGGGGGATGGGGATGTTTGTAATTTGTTTAATATTTGACCAGGACTTTGGGAATGGCTGTTCAGATTTATTTTCTTAGAACATTGTTTCATTTTCCAATCGTGGAGTCATATGATTTTGTTTTATAGAAAATGATTATGTACTCGTATGTTTCAAGATTGCCCGGTACCTCCTACGTTGATGTTGATGCATAGCTTAATGGGGGCATTCCATGAAATATTGCTTTGAGTTGAAATTCTGCATGCTAATCACTAATATTTGACTTTTTTGCTTTACACCTTCAAGTGGACAGGAATTGGTAGTTCCATTGCCTACGTTTGGTATGCTTTTGACATTTGCTGTTCTGAGTTTTCTATTCTGATTTTCAACTACCGTTGTTGTTTGTACACCTTACGCTTGGTTGCTGTCATGCTAATGCCAAAGAATTGCTGATGTTGTCATAAATCTGATGGTTGACTCAGTTTGGATCTAAAATTGACGGACATGTGACCTTTGGAAAAATCAGTTTTCGATTCTTTCTAAATAATTGGATAAGTGTCTAGTATGAATATATGGAGTAAATTATAGAGTTGTCAGAGTGATATAAGGATGCATGCTCTTCCTAAGAATTTAAAACAACTCAGTTTCTTCCCGTCATATGGGAAGTGAGCAGGTGATGGGTGCCGTTGGGTGTCCTTTTGTTGCTCGATTGTGACATTTGCTTCTTCATGTGATAAAAGATGGAGCACACAAAGGTTATACTTAACAATGTATGAGGTAACTGTACATGTTTCTATATATTTTGTGCTACCCGGTGGACTGGCTTGATAGTTATTGATTATGTGGAGTCATGTGAAATTTTAATTTTTTTTATATTAATAACTATTTTTTTCCAATACAGACGGAAAAGTCGTTCTATCTCCCCTAAGCGTCGTAGAAGTCGTTCTCCAACTCCAAGACGTCGTAAAAGTCGTTCTCCAACTCCAAGACGTCGTAAAAGTCGGTCTCCAGTCTTGAAGCGTTATAAGAGACAAAGAAGTAGGAGCTCCTCATTGTCTCCAATTCGTAAATCTTCTACTTCAAGTCTTGGATTGTTGGAGCAGAAAAATGCCAGTGAGAAATTGAGAAAGGAAGAAGAAGAAGAGAAGAAAAGGTATCATTTATGTAACATAAGTTCTTTTATCATATAAAATTTTCTTGTATCCTTCCATCAAGTTCATATTTAGAGTAGACTAACAGTTTTAAGTATTTACTGAGTTATGCTGAAGATGTAATTTGGGATTGGACGATTTTGTTCAGTGATGGGAGGCTTGCAATTGTGTTTTGGAGCCTGTTTGGTAGTCCTTGCTATGGATTTCTTCATCAATTAACCTTTAAAGAGTAACTATTTGTTGTATAGTTTTTAATGAATTGCGTTTGTATTTTTGTAAAAATCTTTGAAGAGATGATTAGAATATTTTTATAATGTTATTGAACTAAAGTAATGAATTCTGGTCAATTTTGTGTCTATAATGGGTACTTTTGTGTGCTTTTAATGACTTTGGTTTGGTAAATATGTGAGATGCACAATTGACATATGGAGTTATGGATTTAAATGTGGAGCTGGTTTGTCCAATCTGTTTTACAAATCAATCTTAACTACTTGTTTACATAATTTTAATTGCATATGGGCGTAAGATATTAGATTATAAGTTGTAGCAGTCAAATCTTTAACCATTGAATCTAAATTGGGTAAAGGAACATTTGTATGATAGGGCATTATTGGTCTTATAATTAATTCCAGCATGCTAGATATTTATTTAAGAATGAATTTCTAGTATTTTTAACGCCCATTGCACAGGAAAATGTCTCTTGTTACTGAAAGTAGACAAGTATCTCTAACTTCCATCTTTTGAAGAGATTATTCCATCTCATTTCCAATAGGAGTTGGAATTCATCTAAATGTGCTATGGGAATCACTCACAGTTGGATTGTAGTTATTTGTTTGATTTCAAAAGTCAATAATGTAAAATTTAGTTGGACTTCTTGATTGCATGCAGCTGATCCCAAATGTGGAAGCTATTCTGATTCTAACAATTGTTGAACTTCTTATGACTGTAAGTAATGCAATCAAGGGCCTTTTTAGGAGCATATGTGTGGGTTGAGTACATTCTTGCCCCCTACACAATTGTAACCAGATGAGGATTAGGCTGTTTGGTAGTATATATCGATGTGAAAACTAATCAAGATCTGTCCTGAGTTTGGTTGGTTTATGAAGAAAAACGCACTCAAACTATACATATGTTTTAGTTCCTTTAGTGTAAATTTTGGGAGTTTATGTGTCGGAACACAGTGTCCAGTCAACACATGATACTTTTCTCCACATCCGCAAATCATTGCTTATAGCTTATTTACTTTCAGTTGCTTGTCCAGATATATGCATTTTTAGAACACGATCATCTTTCTGCATAATTTCATTTTTGGAGTGTTTGGAAAGAGCTAGTCAGTTATTTTGGTGTCCAAGACCAGTGATATGGTGAACCTAAGTTATTCGGAGATCCTCAACCTGTTGTGCCATACCTAAGTAGCTGACCCCTGCAACAGCTGGGTTGACTACTGTGTTGTTGGCAAGTGCAGGTTAACCTCTGTTTACTGAATTTGGACCCAAAGAAAAACAAATCCTCTGCCTACTGAATCATGTAGTAGTCTGCCTGTTCTGTAGATTTGGATTTGTGTTGGCTTCTGACCTAAATCCATTTTCCCTTGTTGCTACCCTGGTTCTCCATCAGTGTTGAACTGCCGTTTCTGTCCTGTAAATGTTTTCCCAATGTCTTGTCATTGCTTTAGTGCTCATGATACTCAAGAAGTACCACATAAGTCATATATTTTAGAACTGTAGTCTTTTCATGTAAAGAATGTATTTAGTTCAAATTTGAAACACTTCGATGATTAGTTTTAAAACTGCAGCAGGTTACTTGACATTCTCCTCCACAGGATTTTCTGAAGGATGATACTGCTATAGTTCAACTTGTTATATTTGATGATCAAAATGGGTGCATCGTTTATCTACTGTTCACCAGTTTTGAAACTCATTTGTTTGGATCAGGATACATTAGAGGTATGCCTTAAAAGCATAACCGTATATATAGTACCTGTGTCCTCATGAAGGTTAGTTTGTCATTTATTGTAGTCAGATAATGACGAGAGAAGGGGAGGGGTAATAAAAAAAGAGGAAGCAGTGTATGTTGATTGGTTTTTTATTTGTAATCAGGCGGCAGTTTCCCTCTTTATTTCAGAGGCCACTATATTGCTTAACTTTTTCACTTGTGCTCTCAGGCGGCAACAGGAAGCAGAATTGAAACTGCTAGAAGAAGAGACTTCAAAGAGAGTGGAAGAAGCAATATGTAAGAAAGTTGAAGAGAGCTTGAACTCCGTGGAGATTAAAGTGGAAATACAGAGGCAGTTAGAGGAGGGACGGAAGAAGCTTCTTACTGAAGTTGCAGCACTACTTGAGAAAGAAAAGGAAGCAACTCTTATTGAGGCTAGAAATAAGGAGGTAATAATTAGGCTACTATGTTTCTTCTATCTGGCATCTCATTTTCTCTTCTTGTTGTGGTGACACACTAATGAGTCATTGTGTACTATCACCATTAGGGATGATTGGACTCATATGTTCTGTTTTCCTGAACATATACTATTGTCTTTTTAGTTATTGGGCTGTGTAGTTGGATAAGGATGATTAGTTTCAAGTTTCAACTTACAGTGACATGGTTTAGAGCTTACTCAAAGCAAGGAATAAAAGAAAACAAAAATGGTATTAGTATCATGAAGGATATGTGCCTTTAAGATAATGGAAAATCCAAACCTGTCCTGTTGTTTTAATTATCTGAAGGGGATGCTGTGCATGATTACAGTGGGGATGTGTGGGAAGCAGACATTGTATGGTTTGGCTGTGTATTTATATGAAACAATCACAATTTAAGATGGGATGACACTTGTAGTCTGCAATTCCTTCCTTTGCCTCCGTCTCTATTAGCTGAAAAAATCAGAGTAATTGATGTGTTCTTGTGTGTTTGACATGATTGGTGTTTTGCTGACAGGAACAAGCTCGAAAAGAGAGAGAAGAATTGGAAGGGATGCTTGAAGAGAACCGGAGGAGAGTAGAAGAAGCTCAAAGAAGGGAAGCTTTGGAGCAGCAGCGGAGGGAGGAGGAGCGGTACAGGGAGCTAGAAGAGCTCCAGAGACAAAAAGAAGAGGCATTGCGAAGGAAGAAACAAGAGGAGGAGGAAGCACGGGTGAACCAAATGAAATTGTTGGGTAAGAACAAATCCCGGCCAAAATTGTCGTTTGCAATTGGATCCAAATAGATTCTTTATGGAACATGGCTTCGTTCCGATCAATATGTCTTGACTTGGTTGCACGTTTGTACCTGTAATGTAAGAATATTTGGTAAATACAGTTTTGGTGTTATAATGTAATCAGTTCTCAATTATCGAAGATGTGTGTTATTTTTATATATTTCTTGTCTGACTGTTCCTTATAGAATGTCCATCTGAAGCCTACGCAGGGAGAAATCCTCCAAGGCATTGTCTTCCTTTCGTATGAGTTTGCTCCTTCTCTTTGCTGCAATCTTGCAACACTGAGTCTCCTTCCTTTCTCTGTCCTTGTGATGCCTCATGTGGCCAAGCCAAAGTTTTCATGGAATCAAACCCTTTTCCACATACCTTGCAGAGGCTTTCTTCACCTGAACCTTCAACCTTTCAGCATAAAAATTGCCAAGACCTTTTGGGTTGCCGTCTTAGGCCATAACCAGCTAGCCTTTTGTTTTTTTCTTGGAGTGCTGCATTTGTACCACATTTGCTGATGGGTTCCACATACATTAGTGGGCCAACCTCTCTAAGGTGGTGAGCAAAGTGGTCAATGAATGCGGAGCGGCTGCTTCACATGCACGTTTTGTGTGTAATGGCACCAACATTTGAAATATAACTAGAAAAAAGAAGAAGAATGGAGTGCAACAACAGAGTATAGATTCATAATATTTTTGTAGGTTGATATAGCACAATATATTACAAATCTATTTTGGAACATTATTTTGTGGTTAGCTAGACAACCAAAAGCCAACAATCACTAAGGAAAGGAAAGGAAATGAAGGAAGGAAACTGGGTAGAAACTGAAAGAGCTAAGTAACAATGTGGTGAATTGATTCTTACGGTGGCGAGCATCAAGCCAAACTTTGTGTTCTCTGCCCACTGTGGGTTGGAGAGCAGAGAGATACTGAAGGAATGAGCGGTGAAACGTCTTCGTACTGGTGGTGATGTTATTGCAGTCGAGCCGCCTGGAGAATTTCCGTCCGATAAGATCCCTGTAACTGCTCCAGGTTTACCTTTTTTCATCATTAATCATGCAGGACTTTACAAAAATATAATAAGGTGGATATTATGGTTATTTATTTGTGAACCTAGATTTAGCTCTACTAAAGCTAGGAAAGTGATTTCTCAACTTGGGTTTTCCAATGCTGAAGTCTTTGATGCTATAAGACTTCTCTAGAGGAATATGAGCATAAAATCCTCCTGGTTATTCACAGCAGTATATGGACATCCTTGCCTATCTAGAAGGGTGAATCTATATGGCAAGTGCTTGGAACCTGCCTTGGTTACTAGCTGGCGAGTTTAATGACATCCTCTATGCACAAGAAAAATATTTGGGAAGGAGCAAGGAACAGTGGGATGATAAAGACTCTTGATTCATTTCAACCGTTCGTCTCAGGCAGAGATTGGATCGAAACAATATGCCGAGCAACAAGAAGAGCTAATATAAATAGAGCTACTAACAGATTCACCTCTTTTTTTCTTTAGGGACCTTCCCAGAGAATAGTCTCAGAATCACTGGATATATCATTCACATATCATTTGTTCAATCAAATACTAACGTTTATGATAAACAACATAAAGTAAACAAAATCTCCGCGGAAAGATACATAATTCGATTCATCCTGCTAAACCCAAGAAGATTATTGTATTGTAATCCAAAACCAAACAATACCACAACATTACTCTCTAGCGAAATTTGTTTCTGCTGCAGACATGAGCAATAATACTAATCATAACTGATTCACAGAATGTTCCACTTTCTCTCTAATGCTGTACTTATCCTTTCCAGGCAAACCACAGCACTCAGCGGATAATCAGAAACTGCTAGCACAAAAAAAGATTTATTAACAAACAAAATCATAAAGCAAAACAAAATAAGAGCTTTTGCCCCAACCCAAAGAGATACAAAAAGTAGAACAATATCATGGCAATCAAAGGAACCATCAAACTGGCCAAGACTTGAAGTAGAATAATATAAAACCTAGAAGGATGGAATCCGATACCAGGACTCCTCACTCAAAGCAAAAAATATTACCAAAGGAGAGCCTAGGGTAAACTTTCCTAACTATAATACGATTTCCTTTCTGGTTTTTAAGCACGTTTCTTCATATATATTTTGACTACATTTTACCATCAACTTCTGAAAAACACCAACATTTTTTCTCTTCGAATAGTATAAACCAAAAGACAAAGACAAGTTAAGAGAGGCATAACCTGATATGATATCATCCGCATTCTCGCTATCGATTCTCCCGTGAGCCATTGCACCAACCTGAACTTCAGGTTAGTTAATCAACTAATGAACCACCTAATACCAAATGTGTAATGAAAACATATGATTGATAGGGAACAATAATGCTCATACCACGAAAACAAGGTTGACATTATCGCTGACTTCATGCACATAATCCCGTAAGTCAACTGCCTTTTGCGAGCTCAAGGAAAGGCCTGAAATGACAGCATGTTTTCAGTCAAAGAAGCTTTTAAATGAAAACAGAACCCTGCACATTATCGGAGGCTTACCTATCTTGAGGGAATTGGCAGGTAAATGCTGAGCTATAGGGTTCTTAACCACACGCAAGAGTCTTCCACGTCGACCCGTGGATTTAATGCTCAACTTTTGCAATAATTGTGCTGCGATATATAAGAAGAAAGATAAAAGTACGGTTAAAAAATTTAATGTGGACGAAAATAGATAAGAATAATAGTTCACTCTGTTACCAAAGAAACACTAACACATCATATAACAGAACTTCTCCAACGATTCTGGTATAGTAGCATGTGGTTCAACTTTAATGAGCACCCCTTCATCAGTTTTAATATACACGGCATGTAATCTACCAGCCTTACAAAGTCGGGTATCCATGATTTGACGGAGAGCCTGAACATAACAGATTTGCAAAAAAGGACTTGTTGAGACAAAAATAAAGTGCATTTGCATGATAGAGACATCAAATTGAGGTCACTGGTAAACTGGCAATGGCTTCCATGTCCAGGAAATAATTTAATAAGTACAGTGTTTTCTACACAATTGGTTTAAAATTAGTCATTGACGTGCCACAAGGAGCTCAAATCCTAAAGAATTATATTCATTCAATAATTTGATAGACTAATGGCTACAGCTTCAAAGTTGATTGTTGTACATTTCTGCACGTTATTGGAGAAAGATGTGCCTTAATGAGAAGTTACCAATCATCTAAACTCAACAATGTCGCTACGCACCTCATGAACAATGTCAGGTCTGTATTTATATGGATCCAATTTCTTTCTCCGCAGGAAGTCAGCATGTACTTGTGGATTTAAAATCTGGTATGTCTGAACAAGGAAAATATAAGGTAAATCATAATGAACAAAGTAAGAACACCAGAAGCAGTGATTGGATTGAAGAGCCACAAATTATTACGCAGAAAATAAGAGAAACAACAACTCAAAATCATTAAAACAGGAAAAGGAGAGGCAAGGGATGACCCTGGTGCAATCATAAAAATGTTTACCCTTCCGACAAAAGCAGGCACCAAAGAAGCCTTTTCAAGAACAAAAGTAACTCCACGGTTCATGTTCTGATTGGAAGGAGTAAGTGGAATCCCAGGAAGTTGGTACATAGAATGTTCATCATTCCGTTCATCTTCACCTTGTTTGATCCCTCCAAATCTCGACTTCGAATTACGCGTTGAGCTTGGCCCTAAGGTCTGTCTCTTCATTTTTCTCTTTCCAGTCCTGGAACAAACAAGAGACATAAACCATTGAGGGTACGCGAATGAAATTATAGCAAATTACAAGTGGTAATCCATATGCAACTAGTCCACTACAGACACGCATTGCTTTCACCAAAAAGTTGGAAAAGAATATCGTTTATATTACCACAAAAAAAATATATATGGCATAGAAATTATAACATATGATATATCATATCCAATATGGACGACTGTAGACTTCTACTGTATTAGTAATATTTCCAGTTAAGAACTGTTATATTCAAAGTTATATTCAGAAGAAGACGCTGATTTCCTGCTCAAGCAAAAGAAGGATCTAAATGATTTTAGGCCTGGAAGGGTTTACGAGGTTTGTTCTTGAATTACAATTGACATTGATCAGACCTTAAAAAATCCTTATATAAGGTTCTACCCTAATTACTTTTTTTTAAATTTATTATATAAATCTTGAGTTCTTTGCTAACCAAATATAGGTTATCATCAACTACATAAATTCATGTCTTGGGATTGAGATTAACATAAGGCTTACTGTAGAATTGCAATGGGAATAACAATGTTTTGTTTTCCCCGGCCATTGTATTAATTGGCCGTGATAGCAAAACAGTATTATCATCGTTACAAGAAAGTTTTTTTGGATTATGTCTTACTATTTCTCTCTTTATATTATGCTTCTTTATTGTTTTTGGTTATATAACTTATGATTGTTAGTGTTTGACCCGTCTAGGCTCTTCGTGCGATTTTGGATAGCAAACTTAATAAAGCAGGTATGGTAGGAGCTGTGTATGTGAAAACTGATCAAGGAGTTTTATTTGAAATTAAACCCCATGTTCGTATACCAAGAACATGCAAGCGCTTTTGTGGAGTCATCTGTAAGTTAGCTTCTACTCCCATTTGACATATATTCACGAAATATTTCCATGGAACTTACTCATGGCTTTGTCTTTTGACTTGTGCAATTTCTAAAGTGGAGTTACTAGGGCATAAATGCATTCGTGACAAAGATACAAATGAAATTCTTATGCGTGTCATTGAGGAACCTGTGACGCGACATTTACCTATCAACTCTCGCGTCGTAGGTGAGCGTTGTATACCTCTATTTAAAGTTCTGAGCTTAGTGACCAGGACTAATATACCGGCTGTATTGGGATTGCAGGTCTCTCTTATAGTTCAGAAAAGTTGGTTGACATTGATGAATATGTTAATTCTGGCAGTGATGAATTAAATCTTGTTTTTGTGGTATGTTTCAGATTCTGAATTTCAATTCTTAGGTTTCCACTTCATGCTCTATTTTGTATTTGAAATTTCCATGACTGGTTCTTATCAGGTGGGTGCAATGGTCCATGGGAAAATCAGTAAGGAGTATACAGATGATTTCGTATCAGGTAAATGTATATGGCTGGAATTTCTCTTAGAATATAAACTAAAATTAAGTTGTTTAAACATGCATAGTTAATAGTTACACCCGAAAGTGTTTCTCGTTTAGCTGGTTTTATTTTCTTCTTTCAATCTAGTATTTGCTTTATGTTTCTTTATCTTGCTGGAAGTTACTAATATTGGAATGCTGAACCTCGCATTTGCTTGCCTCTGCAGTTTCGAATTATCCATTGAGTGCGCAATACTGCATAGGGTTGATTTGCGAGTCATTGGAGCATAAATGGAAAATCTTCTGATATATATATATGCACGTAGTTCTTCTTCTATGCAGACGTTCATACGTTATTATCGTGCCGGACGTTTGTATATGAGAAAATTTGTATAAGTTTATGTTTAATTCTTATTTAGGTGCATTTGGGGATATTCCTGTAAGATGTAGTTTTTTTTATAAAAAAAATTAAGTAAGTGTTTATCCTTTTATGAAAATACTTTTGTAGCCAATATAAGGCGAATCAATTTGATGTTATTTCTAGGCAATTGCAGCATTTGGGAAGCGCCTATTTAGAAGCATAATATAACTATAACTGTAGGGGCACCGTCCCAATGAGTCTCAAATTTGCTGACTTTTGGGTTCAAGTTTGGAACATAATTTCCATAGACTTTTTCTTCTTTTACATAATAAATAATTTGAAAATAAAAGGAAAACCTTTCTTCGCTTTTCCCAAGAGTCACCAATCTATTTCTATTATTTCTTACGAATTATGAAATAAAATTTGATTAGATTTTGGTATTTGGCAAACAAATTAAGGAAGTATAATATTTCTACATCTATAACTGGAGGAGCAATTGCTCCAAACCACTACATTAGTGAGTTCTTTGCTAATTCGTTTACTTTTTAGATCATCATTGAAAGATGCAAAAATTCCTCAATTCAAAAAGCATCTAATTATCCAAATACGATAAAATAAATAGACAAACATAATGTTTTTGATAAGACAGTGAAATATTCACGAAAATAATCAAGTGGTTAAACAATCTCTGATTTTTAGATGAAATTTTGCAGGAATAATCTTTGAATCATGTCCTAAAAATTGAACGGTTCAGACTACAAAATTGCATTGTGAAATAGATCAAAATGAGTGATTATCGTCGTATTAACTCACGATAACATATATATATATATATACAGAAATTCTCCTATGTGGACTCTCAAATATTATTATAGTGTGGACGCTATGTATTTTCTATTACCCCTCCATACTTTCTTCTCTAATTACAATGGCATCCGCACGATAATAACTTGCAGACATCTGGATGAGAGAATAATTGATATACATAATTAGTTCTCCTATGCAGACGCCCGGATGTTATTATCGTAAGAACGCAATGTATTTTCTATTACCTCTCCCTACTTTCTTCCATGATTACAATGACATCCGCACAATAATAATATGCGAACATCCAAATGAGAGAATAACTTATATATATAGTCCCCTTCTATTGAGGGATCCCTCAATTAATTTTATTTGAGGGACACCCTTTAGGGTCCCCTACGAAAGTTTTTTCAACCATCCAAACCATCTATTTTTCACATCTTCATTCAAAGATCATCCTTGCAAAAAATCACGCAAATTGAAAATCATTAAGGCATATTATGGAGACCAACAAAATAGGGTGCTTTAAGAAAGCACTTGAATTTCAATAAGTTAATTAAGTGGTCATATGATATCATATTCAAGTGATTTTTGGAAGAGATGATATGTGAATGAATATCTATAAAATTGACAATTTGGATATTTGAATGAATATCTACAAAAGGGTGAAGTGTATATTTACCTCTCTTAATATAAAGGGTCTTTGCAAGGTGAAAATTGGGTTCTGTTTTGTAGGTGAGTTTTTTTTTATTCTGAGGAAGAACTCTTAATTTTCTATGCGGGTGAGTGTCCCATAAATCAAGTTTGTGAGAGGATTGAAATCAACATTTGATTTTTATGAAATGTGAGCTGCATGTGAGAGGGTTAGGGTTGATGGGAATGTTGTTTGACTCAAGCATATGTAGTTGAAGGCTTGAGTCCTACATAAATTCCTAAATGATCTCCGATCAGGCTTCATCTTTCCTCTCCTCTCTCCCGGGAAAGTATCGCTTCCCCTCCCTTTGAATATTGGCAACCCCATCGTAAGGATATTACAGGAGATATTTCGGTAATATCAGACATATTTAAAACCTTGGGTCTAAATAAGGACCTGAATGATGAACGATTCAGATCATGAACTCGCATTGTGGAGTGGTTCTAAACGAATGGTTAGCTAGCAATGTTGTAATTCACTTCAATGGCTAGCTAGCGCTTGAGCATGAGTATATATAGAATAAATTAATGAAAGCACTACTTTTACAGCTATCTGAAGACCCAGCTAGTCTCCAATATTATGCAAACCTAATCCAAACCAAGAAATAGGGACTGCATGATCAGTTATTTGAAGACATAAGCAATAACAATCTAGACCCTCCTCAGTATAATGTACAAGTGCACTGGAAAAAACAAACGTAGATTGCTTAATTTACATCAGCTCTACAACTTGGCACTAGGCATGCACAGCATGTTTCTATCGACTCAATCGGAGGTTCTCACCATCGCATTTGTAGAGTTTCACATCTACTTAAAGCTAAACAGATCACAGTGCTCCATAGGAACCACATTCCCTTTCATCGCAAAACTTAAATAGCAGAGACATTTTTATTCAAAACAAATAGATTCCATCTGCTAAATATTGCTATATATCCATACCGTGAAACAGATGCACTCATTTCTATGATTATATAACTTTACAAACAAATGGATATAAAAGAATTGGTGCTCTTAAAACATGGAGAGAAACAATAAAAATTTTCCTACTAGGATATATGACTATGGACAAGAAAGAGGGGAGGAAAACCTTATGGTAGGTCGGGGAAAACTCTCTCCAAGAAATTGATGAAACGTTTAGCATAGAGCTTGGGTTCAACGGCAGAAATGGATTGAGGGTCAAACTGCAATGATTTGCATGCGTGCTCAATTTTCTTTTTCACATTGTACTCCTGCAATATATCAATTATGCCCATATAGAGAACCACGTCGTAAAATTCAAAAAGTTCGACTTCTGTTGAATCGACCTCATCCTGCAGAACCTTAAGATTGGCCTGTGCTGGCATATTTACTCCTAATTGCACCCTTAACCTGAGAAAAGAGCAACTGACAGTGACTGTGCTGCTCAATGACAAAACCTATCATTTACCAGTGTTCCTGACGTTGCAAAAATCAAGGCACAGAGTGCCAAGACTTGCAGGATTAAAATAAAGATGGAAAAAGAAATTTCTTCACTTTGATATTATATTGAATATTTTGAGTTACAGAATTGAAACTATAATGCAAATTAATTTTAGCTGGCTTATTTAACTAAGTTCGAAGTTGTTCATTAGTTTTCATTAAGAGTAACTCATTTTACAAAAGTCCAGCAAACTCAGCCATTTCTGCTTTTTTCTAGTTCCAATGGGAAACAATGCTGTTGGAACAACTACACATCATAGGAATATAATCAAAAAGGAAAAACTAAAGAGTAGGAATATTGAACTTACATCCAAACAGAAGCATCATCTAATAAAAAGCCAATTCACTAAGCCAGATCAAAAAAATTCAGCTGTCTCTAATCCAACAACAGTTTTGAAGCTATTAAGTTCTATGGTACTGGTAATCTAGTTAGCACTGCATCTCAGATGTGATACTAACATAAGCATAACTGAGCACATCAGATAACATCTAATTAGTAGGTTAGGCTGTAAATATAATTTTTTTAGAGTTTGTCATTCCACACACCAAGGTAATAGGAGATCCAAATGCATATGGCGTAAAACTCAAAAGTTCAAAAGTGTAAAAAATAAGTGCAAAAGCGCAAATTATAGAAGCTACCTTCCTGTACCAGGGAGTAAAAGATCAACTTCTTTGTCACCAAGAGAATATGCTTTCAACGTACTTCCTCTGATGTGAGGACCTGGTGCAGTACTGACAGAGCCGGGTTCATGGGTTACCAGTAGAAGGCCTTTGGGAGGAATCAAAAGCTCCCCTTGTGAAGAAGTCACACCTGATCAAATTGGAAAAAGTTTAAATATACAATACTTCAAATATGAGCAAAGAAAGCCATCCCAAAAAGTAACCAAATAGATTTCAAAAAAATACAGTGTTTCAGAATCATGCACAAAAACATGGAGGTGCACACGCATATAGCTAACTCCAATTATAGTTATGAGATTGACTGGTAATCCAAATAAGCAGCCTCAGACATGCATATACTGATGCAATTATCTCCAGCATTATTTACTAGATCAGAATATTCTTCTACACTTCTGTCAAGTCAGCGTGGTAAATAATAGGAGGAATTATCCCTCTTTTTTCTCAGTCTATATAAATATATGATATGGTTTTCCAAAGCGATGCCATACACATCTATTATTTGGCGTTCAATAGATGACAAGTTTTTTTTTTACCAAGATCAACTTGTTGATAAGATCAACTTGTTGATAAGAGTACCATCAAAGGAGGTTTGTGTTTCTTGCAGGGTTATAAGTGCTTGAATGCGAAAACCTTTCTTTTCCTATGTACACACTGAAATAAGACTTTCGAAAATTGCTTTACTCCAATATTGGTAATATCAACATAGTGCTTGGGCTGTCTTGGTAGACTGGGCAATGGATTATTCCAACTGAGCTGGCTACTTTTTGAATTTCTGCTGATGTTCATATTATTTTTACTTAAAAAGAAAGAGTAATGCTGCATTTAATAAAGATCTACGAAGATAGAGGGCAGTGAAGATGGGAATCTGGCTCCTGTTAGAGGCAAACTGGCTGGAGAAAGAGGAAACACTGTCTTAGGGTATGCAGCTGAGCTTATGAGAAGAACCAAGAATGAAAATATCAGTAAACCTGAGTTGGCCGTTTATGAATTGACGCTGCTGCTTATATTAGTTTTATGAAAGAGGAAAGTGAAATCCTAGCATTTTATTCATATCTGCAAAGATAAAGGGAGGTGAAGAAGGGAATTGGGTTGGTGTTAGAAGCAAATTAGCTGGAGGAAAGGGTAATATTGCCCAGCCTCCGTCATGTTCGGTATGTTTCTTTACTGTTTCTTCATGCTTCATGTGTGTGCCATTTCTAAGTTATGAAAATTACTTAACTGTATCCACCAAAAGCCAGCTCATCAGTCATTGGGTTTTTAGCTCCAAAAAACACAACCAGAAGAGGTGTTCAACTGTGAACCCCTCATACTTACAAGT